TCATCATCAAATGAAATTCAGATGACAATGAAAGGGGCTTTAAACATCTTAACGGCTTGAAGGCTTCAAACCATTTGGCCTTCCTGCCGTGGTGTCTCACCTTGCTCTGGTCAGTCCAATACAGGAAGTAACCTTTGGGGTCAACTGTCAGAGTCACCGGGGTCACAGTGGTTGAATCCTGTCGTGAAGAAGAAAAGACACGTGTCTGTTTAAATCTGTAAATCAACATCTGAATTTCAACATGAGTGAATACCTCGCTGCAGACAATTCTCTGAGGGAACCAAGATCAAAGCATAGTTTGTTTTATCCACTCGCATACCAGAATTTGAAATGACATCAAATGTGCTGTTTATGTTGTACACATGCACTCAATCCTTTCCTTTTAGGGTACTTTCCACACCACGACCTGGCATCACCGCAAAATGACCAAGCAGCCTGGGGTGTGTTTGCAGTGACTGCAATCACGAAGTGCAGGTTGATTTGGAGTTGATGTTTCAATTTTCCCCTCTTGTAATGGACAAATGCTTTCCCACAGTTACATACAGATAGCTCCAAGTCTCTCTCTCCCACATACACACACACACACACAGTTTGACCCTGAGGCATACATGGCAACACCAGATATTATTGGATGCTTCTATAAAAAGAAAGAAAGAGCCATTGCCTTTTTCTGTGTCCACAGTGGCTGTGGCTCAGCTGAACAGTAGCATATTGTCCTCTTCAATCAGCCGTGGCTGCAAGATCAGAGAGATGAGGACCGCATTTGCTGCACAGAGCAAGAAAATCTTCAAAGTGTCTTCACGAGGCTTCTAATGATGTCCCTATCAGAGCATTTGGAGACAGAGCTAATGGTCTGCATCTGCTCCACACTTGTCTTATTTGGGCGCGACCTTATGCGACTTGCAGCGTAGGATACTGGGAAAGGGTTGGGCTGCAAACAGGACAGCAAAGGAGCCTATGCTATAATGTATTTAACCATTACGAGTCATTTCAGTCATTTCATACTGTCTAAATGTCACAATCATGGTTTATCCAATATAGGCCAACAGTGAAAATACAGGAGGAACAGAGGAGGGGAAAACGGGGAAAGACGAAAGAAGGGA